TTCTTTTCTCGTGACCAATATTGGGGACGTAAACATTGACGTAAATTACTGTCTACGAATTTCGACTAGCAGCCAGCTCTCACCACAATATTAATTACAATCATGCGGCTGGGGCTGAATAACTAGTCGCCACTTTGATCAAAGCACCACTCCAGTCAGAAGGAGAGGTGATGACAGTTGACATCCTTCAAGGCTTTTTGAGTGTATCACACAACCCTACATAACATAACACCGAACGAACAATCGCCTGCTGAGTAGCTTTTGAAACGCATAATAAAAATTACTCACAACGCGATACTACCAAAAGAAAGTACCTGTGGTCACCCTAAGAACTGAAACAAAACTTGATCCAAGTCAACACATGACAAGCACGCTACTGACCTTCGGTCTTCTTAAAGAGGGAGATATTAGATACGACCACAGACTTCCTCGGAAGTCTGTTACTCAAGACTCATATGGTACAAATAATAACTAGCTGTAGGCGAGACAAACTTTCAGTCGAAATTTACCGTCTTTGCTAGACACTCAACTCTCTAACTATTTTGTTGTAAGACTAATTTCCATATTATTTCATGGATATAACTTTATAAATGTATTTCATCACACGATTGTGTTAAGGTGGTGAAAGTCGAATATCACCTTAGCACTTTTTTTCAGACGTTGAACCCATCAATCGGAGAATCAGTGATAATCTACCGTTCTTTCCTCCAAAATATTGGACTTTCTAAAATAAAGCAAACATTATGATATCAGAAGATATTCCTACATTCATTGCATCCAGTGTAACCTTACAATTTATAGAAAAGTTGATTCGAGCTAAATACGCAATGATCGCATCAAAAAATTGAAGCACTAGTTTTATACTACTCACAAACAGTACAAACTTGGTTAGTCTGGAATTTTCCGCATATATATTCTCTCTCGCTCCAACAAGTAACAGTGAAATCAATTACCTTGCGAGACATTAAATACTGTAGTATTACGATCAAAATCTTCCTTCCAGAAACTCATTTCACTCAAACATGTATTCTACCTAAATCATGCTGGATAATTCGTTCTAGAGCAATAATGCCAACCTGTCCGTCAAGATGCCCATTATCCCCATTTCTATTCAACTTCATCATAGATGTACCAATGGACTTAACTATAACTCACTTCAGCGACTCAGGGATTGACTTGCTACAGGGGAATAATCTCGCTGACTTAGAATATGCAGACGATATAGTCCTTCTAGGCGAGAACGCTGACAAAATACAGCAGAGTCTTCTGAACACCTTGAGCCGCAATCTACGAATGTTTGGTATGCGATTCGCTCCCGCCAAATGCAAGATGATGTTACAGGACTAGACTACACCGACTCCTAGATTAGAGATAGGAAGTGAAGTGGTAGAGCACGTTGACCGCTTCACTTATTTGGGAAGTACCATCAGCCAGTGCCAACGGGTTGATCTCTGACGAAATCTCAGCACGGATACAGAGGGCTAGTTTCGCATGTGCCAGTTTACGCCATCTCTGGCGTAGACGTGATATCCGACTATCGACCAAAGGGCGGTTGTATTGCTCATCAATCCGCTCCGTCCTCCTTTATGGCTAGCTGTGAGACCTGGCCATTGAGAGTGGAAAACATGAAAAGATTAGCTGTCTTTCATCATACGTGCCTGCGTTCTATTTCCCGTGTGAAGTGGTATAATAAAGTGAGCAATATAGAGGTTAGGCATCGAGTTCTAGGTAAGCAGCAGGGAAATCAATCGACGAGGCTGTGAAATTACAACGACTAAGATGGTTAGGACATGTGTTACGTATGTCTAGTCATCGCCTTCCTCGACGGGCAATGTTAACTGATATAGGGTCAGACTGGAAAAGAGCTAGCGGAGGTCAAACAAAAACATAGCACCAGTCAATGAAGTCCACAACAGTTAGTCTAAGCCACGTAGGAAGGTGTAGAATCCCTGGTTGGGGTCCCCGGGACTGTAAAAACCAATGGTTGGAAACAATTGGTGAAATGGCTCAAGATCGTTCTCAATGGCTGGCGCAGATGCATCCACTCCTTGTGACTTATGATTTCCAATGCAACTGTTTTGATCTTCGTTGCTACTGTTCCTTTGTCTCACACCTCTGTTTACTGTCTGTAGTATGCATTTCTTCTACTTTCTTCTCTTGGTTTGTGTGCTACATGGAGTGTGGCGACTTGAACTGCTGCACATCGGTGCAAAGTTCTATGTCAAAAACACACAGATAGACAGAATGCCAACCTACTTGTTCAGCATCACAGTTCAAGGCAAGAGCTTAAGCAAATACCTCACCATGCGATAAAACTTGGCCTTTTAAACTAAGTTCGGACTATCGGAAAAGAGCTAAATAAGCAGTGGAACAAAGGTTGGCACAGATTTTCTAATCACAATGAATTACTAGCCAATAATGATTACCAGGAAAGAATAGAGTAAAGAATAACGGGACTTTCCAAAAAAACAGATATCTGTGAACAAAGAATTACTAATCTAATAACATTTGTATCTTCAATAAGAACCAAAACTATGCTGTCAAGCAATTATGATGAATTTGCTTTTTGGCTTTTACATTATGCTATCTTGAAGTAGAACAATGAAGTTTGATGAATATCATTTTCCCTTGAGGTTAAGTAATAGAGGTTCACTCACGCAAAGAAATTAGCGACAGCACTACCTCAGCACAAATTTATATCATATTTCTAATCAACCACATATATATGCAACATGGTCTGCACCGTAATTAAGAAAATATGAAGTAATCCGTGAGCACAGCAGTCCTAGATGCGGTACGCTAGTTTTTCCTCAATTCCTACACTAAATATACGCAATAGGCAATTTAAATAAACACTGTGACGACTTGAAGCGAAGCCTGAAAGCACTTTTAAGTTACATTTTCTAAAATGATTTCGTAATTACTAAACACTGGTTTCGGTAAATGTTAACTGTGATTAATCCACTTGAAGTGTTGGTTTGCAGAGATCTGATTGACTTCAAGTTAAATCATGACCTGACTTCAGTTGGAGAACCACTGAAAACTAGGGAGTACAGGGTAAAGGTTCGATCATACTATGAGTCGTGAATTCGTCACTAAACAAACTCTAATGCATCTTCTCAAACTTCGATAACAAAAGAAACAGGACCTATCTTTTACCATGTCTGTCTGTCTGTTTTCGACATAGAACTTTGCACATATGTGCGGTAGTTCAAGTCGCCATGTTCCAAATATTAAAGACAGTACACCGAGGTGTGAGACAAAGGAATAGTAATGACGAAGAACAAAACAGTTTCATTGGACACCATAAGTCACAAGGAGTGGATGCATCTGCGCCAGCCATTGAGAACGATCTTGAGCCATTTCACCAATTGTTTCCAACCATTGGTTTTTACAGTCCCGGGGACCCCAACCAGGGATTCTACACCTTCCTACGTGGCTTAGACTAACTGTTGTGGACTTCATTGACTGGTGCTATGTTTTTGTTTGACCTCCGCTAGCTCTTTTCCAGTCTGACCCTATATCAGTTAACATTGCCCGTCGAGGAAGGCGATGACTAGACATACGTAACACATGTCCTAACCATCTTAGTCGTTGTAGTTTCACAGCCTCGTCGATTGATTTCCCCTTTTAGCATAAGGGCTTTTGACTACTTAATAGGTTACTGTAACTGTTTCGCCGAAAGTTCTGCAAGAAACAACATTGGAGGTCAAATGTTTACGCTGATTATAATTATGCCTCATATAAGTTAGAACAAGCACTGATTTCTCTTCGATATTGTTTCGACCAGAATGTTGAGTATGTAACAATGTGATTGTACACTTTTTGGTTACTTGTTTCGAGATATTGTACATAATTTTGTTTAAAACGCTTCTGGTTGAAATATACATACTTCCGTGTACAACTGAAAAATACACTTGCTGTGGAGACTTCGTCTTCTCCTGGTTATTTCTGCTTACTTGCTCAACTCACACCGTGTTGTATACTTCGGATTTATTGTAGGAGCCTACTACTTTCAACCGAAGACATTTCTACAACCGGAACACAGCAGCTACAGCAGACGCAGTCCAAACAGTTAACGTGCCTGTGGATTATATAATTAATTTGTAGCCGAGGACTTACACTTTATAACCAAGTATCCTTTTGTTGCTATAACTCGTCACTGTATTTTTGGTAATATATTGTGATTTAACACTCACTGACTTGATTATTACTTTTATACTTGGAATGTTAGTGAACTCTAATATTAGTCCCCTACAAATGTACCACTTTCTTGAATGTTTTACAATACAACCTGCTACCATAATTTATACTACTTCAGTCTAAAAACCGGTGGCCAGGAGAGTTATTAACGACAATAACAATACTATTCGTTGTTAGGGATGGAAATTCCCAACCATTTTGCTACGCCTTGAAAATTGATATTCATTGTGCGATTTAGAACAAAAGTGAGTATCCATATAGAATGACCATGACATGTTTTTGATAATCAAGCAGAGTCTAGCAGACTGAACAACAGTTTTACGCAAAACAACACCAGGTGAATATCCTATATTACATAATGTACCGGCAAAAATTAGAACGACGGGATTTCAGAATACATGAGAAAACTATAAGTCGACAAAATAAATTAAGCAAGTTTAAAATGGCGTTCGCAACCTCAGAAACCAATGGTTTCCCTCCAATATGATACATTCACAATGTCTTTAGGAACTCACTCAAAACCGGTTGGCTAGCCTATCGTTTCACATTCCGCTCAAATCGATCAACTGCAGTTTTCTGCAAAATACAAACAGGTTTCACTGTACGCCCGCTAGTTTTCCTCCCGAGAACTGCCAGTTTCACTACAATACCAATCGCCTTGCATCTATACTATGCGCGACGATACAAAGGCATATGTTACTGGGACTTCTAACTATCTACTGATGGTAATGTTTAAGCCGTCCAGTAAGACAGTTAACTGCTATGCACTATCCCGTCCACTAACGAAAAACGAAATATGAAGGGTAACGTCTGTTGTTATTTATTTTGCTTATTAATTTGGTATGAAAAACTTTCATCTAAAATCAAAGATACTAACAGACTATACAGTAGAACACTACGTGAATTCTAGTGCAAAGACTAGTGGTGAAATAAACAAACTGGCAAGAATGTGCAGTGAAATTCTAGTGTTTCATATTCACAGAAATTTGTCCCAAAGGACTTAACTTGGAAATTAGGTTTAAGTATACACGGAGGGTGGAACTACACAGTTATTCCACTTTGTCCTGTTACTTTGGCGGCTGCCACGGCTCCACTTTCGGACGAGTAGTCGAATACGGGACGTACTTTTTAGAGGGATCCAAAGTCAGGTTTTCTGAATGTTCAGCCGCCCACTTGGGTTTGGTTGGTGGGTGTGATACAGGATTCTCATCCGTCATATAATGCAACCAACGATGCCTACACTGAAAGGTAAACATATGGTGAAAACAAACCATTCTGGCGGAACTTGTGACCCCTCGTAATCCCAACCAAAACGATTAGAATACACAACCCATCTGTTTCTCCCTGACGTTACATATATGAGTGAGGCTTACCCACAAAGTATTTGTTATTTTCATAGTATTTGTTTCCAAACTTATCCGTCCCGACTAAGGTCCCCCATTTCAACTCATCAGTTCTAACTACATAAAAATGAAATAAAATTATTACCTGAATAGCTGTAAGAACGAGCCTTTTATTCCTCCATTTTGACGGATTATAGTCCTCAGCGTACTCAGTTTCTCCACCAAAGAAGACATGATACTTGAAAACACCGCCGACCTTCAGTATCCAAACTTTAGTCGACTGTTGGTGCGTTTGTACTAATCTATTGATCTCTTGTCTTTGGCTTCTTCGTGCTTTGTAGTAATTATGGATATTTAGTCCAGTCAACGTTGCAGAATAGACACCAAATCCAAGTGGCCTTGAATCTTATATTCTTCTAGGTCGAAATTGGCATTTAATGTGGAAGAAAAGTGTATTTATAAGGCATACATGCAATAAAACTGAATTACACCGAATTTATATCTCTTAGATGCTGTAAAACCGGTCTCAGTTTCTCACAGGACTATTTGTAGACACATAAACCAATGTCAATGCAAAAAACTAAGCGGCCCTACATCATATCACATCATATCGGGATTCGTGTATCATCATAATACATCTTTTAGATGCACCCAGAATCCTTTAGTAGGATTTTCATGAGTTTCGCTAATATTATCTACTAATTCAGAAGTATGAATGACCTCATGATGGATATAGTCTAATGATGATAGTTGCGAATAACCCTTCCACTCGATGTCTGAATGGTAGTGCCTTGGAAGGACTAGTCGTTGTATTATCGGTATTAAAATATCTAAGTGAAACTTGCAACGAAGATTATGAACACCATCCATGTGTAATGCCTAGCGTCTCATAGGTGGATTCAAGGTCATTTGGCTTTGATGTGTATTCTTAACTGTTGCCTCGGACCATTCCAGCACGGTAGATGTGTTTACTAGTTTGCGTACCTAACTTAAATTCAGTGAGTAGACAGATGTTGTTTTATTTTCCCTCCAGACTAATATCCCTTCATATAAACTGTGGATAAAATGCATCACGTGGGTAGACAATTCGCGAGCGAAATTTCAAATAAGCGAATGATACAGAAAGACAGCTGTCCGATATCCACGCTGAAAAATTCCATACTTGTACCAAAAATACGGTGTGTAGTCAAGCTGTAATCAAAAAAAAATTTAGCAGGGGAAAAGAAGGAAGAGCAAGAACAAAGAAACTATGCGGAAAAACAGTGAGAAAAGAATGGGTGAACAAGGGACATAATTGTAGCACTGCAGTAGGGCTGAAGAAATTAGGCCTGTTCACACTTAGATACCGTCGGCTTAGAGGGGATTTGATTACTGCCTACAAAATAACAACTGACCAGAATCACTCAAACAAAGGTGTTCTGCCATTGAGTAGGTATAGGCTCCCACGTGGAAATCCCAGAAGGATAGCTCACAAGAGGGCAAGGACCCGGGTACGCTCCCAATTCTTTTCACTGCGGGCTTGCCGTCCCTGGAATTCCTTACCGGCAGATGTAGCTATGGAACCGTCTATGGACGCCTTTAGGCGAAGGCTCGACACCATGCAGCGATACAACGACTGCATCCTAATGGCCTATCTCCTTAAAATGGCATATACCATTCAGGGGTAGACAATTAAACTTGTCAATGTAGTTGAAGATTGAACGATCAATTCATGGTTGTTTGCTCAAAACCAACTTCCCCAATTTTCGCGGAGGCATCAATACGACAGTCATCGTCTCATCGTTCGCTGTTCAGAAAGAAGTCAGCAGTAAACCGTCAGAAGTAATATTGTGATTTATTATTGTAATATTTGTTCACAGACCTTAGTTCAGTTATTCTTTTCATATTTTGGTGTAACAATAAAGAATCCTCGAGTCGCCAATTGGTGTTTTGGTTTTTGCGTCCGTTATTACTAAGCGTTTCTGAGAAACTTCAAGGAACAGCGTGAGCCCGAGCGTAGCAAGAGCTGTGCATTAACGGTTTACGAGACGTGGCTGACAGTTTCTAACGGTAGAAACAGATTCTGGCGGATTCAGACAGTTGGTGAAAGTTTGGATAGACACCGTTCATCTTTCCTGGTTCCGGTCAAGTCCTCTTTGAACAAGCAATATCTGGAATGCTTTTGGAATTGGGTCAAGTTCAACAATGCCTGGGTCAAAGAAGGGACAGAGTGTCTTGGATGCAAACAGGAAAGTAAGTCATGGTGACTTGTCTGTTAATTGTAACGATGTGTCTGATGTTAAGCATGACATGGTTGATGTTACTGTTTCGCCGTTCAGGGATAATAGGAACATCAAACTCCCTAAATTTGAACCACGGTGTTTTGATGGAAACCCGGCTGATTATTTACAATTTGTAAAGGAGTTTGAGATCATGTTGAGTAGTTTCCTATTAAATGATGAATTGAAGTTAATGTATTTGATGAGATATTGCACTGGAATTGCTGCAAGAGCTATACAGTGCCGTAAGTTTATGAAGCCAAAAGAGGGCTACTACGCGGCTGTGAGCATATTACGTCAAAGGTTTAGAAGACCTTCGATGATTGTAGGGAAATTATTCGAGGCTGTTAAGGGTAATGGTGGTCAATTACAGGATGACTCCAAGGCACTCACTGAGTTTTTAGATAATTTGCTAATTTACAAGAATGGAATGATTTCGATGAATCGCATGAGTGACCTCAACTCGAGTTTTATACTAGAAGTAATAGCAAGACGCACACCTACTCGACTGCAAAGGAAGTGGGTGAAGATGAGCTCCCGTATGGAGGATGGGGGTATCTAGCCAAAGTTCGATAACATTCTGAAACTGGTAAATACTAGTGTCAATCAATCTATGAGCAAGTTCGCCAGTCTATTACATCTCACCCCTAGAATAGAGCAGTCTGAGATCAAAATGCAATCATTGATGACGAGTAGGCCTCAGAGAGGTGGATATCGAGAAGGCTCCATGATGTCTAGTAATGCATATAGACCTAGTGAGTGTAACAGGTTTCGTAGTACATCCTCAACAGATAAGTTACAAGATGCAAGACAAACACGGTTTTGTTTTACACGTGTGCAAGAGGTGCATACAGAAGTGAACTGTGAACCAGTGAGCAAGTTCAGTGATAAGCTAAATGTAAACTCCAGGCCTGACTCCGAATTGTGTGACGATAACGGTTTGGTCAAGAAGTCTGTAGTTGCAACTGGTAAGCCATTGTTGAATAGAGTGTGACAGAGGGGAGTTACAGTCTCAGAGGACAGTTCTGACTCCACAAGTTTACAAGGTATTACTAGTCAGAGTGAAGTTATAAAACCTTTTAGGATTTGCGAGGAGGAACCCAAATCATCTACTTCTGTTAATTAAGAGTTTGAAAATGATGAAGTTGACGGTAAAGTGAATATTCTTGATAATGATCATGATACTTCACAGTTGTCTTTGGTTGATCATGATGCGATGAGGGATATGCCTACTACTGCTAAGTTGAACAAAGTTTCTTTACAACTTGAACGTGAAGTAGAAATAAATGCAGGTGCAGTTGCAGAAGGCACGCATACTTGTGAGATCGTCAGTGTAATTGATCAGCATTTAGCCCACCTATCATCAGATGCTAGTGCAAAACCTGAGCTGATAGTAAAAGACAGCAGTGGTGGTGGTCTTGCAGGTAGACAACTTTCTGAAAGTCGAGCAACAACAGCTTTTGATCCACCACTAAGTTCATTAACTGATATCAATCAGTCGTCGTTGGTGCTGTCATCCACAATGGAAAAGACACCCATCAACTCAAGTATCTTGTGCAATGACTATGCTAGTATCAGTTCGTTTGAAAGGACGAATATCAATGGTCAGTTTAGTGAGGATAAGCCAAGTGTAAACGGGAGAGTAATTGTTAAATTGACTTGCACGAATAAAAGCATTTCTAGTTTCAAGTTACTATTTGAATGCTATTATCTTTGGTGTAAATTACTCTGTGCCTACTCTTGGTTGACCAGATACGTCGTGTATTTGTTCGTCATCTACGTTCTACGATACAATGACATGAGCGTGTTACCATTCAGATTTGAGGATATAGCTCATAGAAGGAAATCAGCAAATGAACTCTGCGACGATTTTCCAACCTAGGGCGTCAACCTGAGAAGGTTTGTAGGTGTACTTCTGTAAGTCCTACGGTTCTTCAAGGGTAGTTTGTCATGCCGGAATCCACAACATTTGACGTAGTGATTGTATATATGTTTGTGTTAAATAGTTGTATAAATTCCAATTATTGTAATTGTTGGTTAGTCTTGTTTGTGTCCGGACATTCCACAACTTACAATCGTCAACCTGAGAAGGGTTGCAGGCGTACTGGTGTAAGTCCTGCGATTCTTCAAAGTAATTTCGTCGAGACACGATCTGCGAGTTTGTTTGTACTTTTTGTATATACGTGTGGTGTGTCATATCAATTGGTGTTATTTGAATTCATTGTGTTTACTCGTTGTTTTCGTACCTTGTTTTTATTGCATAATTTTGTTAAAATTTTCGTCGTGATTACTTCGGAAGTTATTTCTAGTCTTCTACATCCGTGAATGAATCGATTGATGTTACAGACAGCAGATGGGTTGTATACGCCGGGGAGGCTATTGATGAGAATGAAATGCATACGGAGATAATGATTGGCTGTGGTCCCACACCCCGGGGAGTAAGAGTGTAAACGACTGAGGCTCGCATACGTCACCGTTACTAGAACTGAGGCAGAATGAGTGACAAGCGATTGCAGTGGCAATTGGTAGTGAGTAGATAAGACGATGTGCGTGGAGTATCGTGAGGTGGTGCTATGGTCACGTTGCATTCTGCAAGAGTCATTCTAGCAAGTGGCGATTGTGTTGCAAGAGGATGCCTTTAACTGGAAGGTGCAGGTCGTCATTGATGTGTGAGATTGTGCTGTGGGTATGCCCGTGGTGTGTTGTCCTTTCTGTTTGTTTTCCATTTCAGCTCTGTCCGAGTGACCCAGGTTCTCGCAATGGCATCCAAGTCAACGTGTATTGGTCGTGATGGAAAAAGGGGATGGATGCGTTTTTTGACGGGGAGTGTCAATGTAGTTGAAGATTGAACGATCAATTCATGGTTGTTTGCTCAAAACCAACTTCCCCAATTTTCGCGGAGGCATCAATACGACAGTCATCGTCTCATCGTTCGCTGTTCAGAAAGAAGTCAGCAGTAAACCGTCAGAAGTAATATTGTGATTTATTATTGTAATATTTGTTCACAGACCTTAGTTCAGTTATTCTTTTCATATTTTGGTGTAACAATAAAGAATCCTCGAGTCGCCAATTGGTGTTTTGGTTTTTGCGTCCGTTATAACTAAGCGTTTCTGAGAAACTTCAAGGAACAGCGTGAGCCCGAGCGTAGCAAGAGCTGTGCATTTACGGTTTATGAGACTTTGACAAAATTCGTCGTTTTACTTCTTTATATTCTCTCCCGTCTTACT